CTATACACATGTATAGGCTTCACTGGTTTTGCTTCTCTAGAGAACCCAGTCTAAGGCAGGACTCTTTTGTCTTCTGCTAGGATTCATGAAATTGTGTTAGGCCAATTTATTAGCTTGCAAATAAGGTAAAATCTCAGACCTTTCACAATTCTTGACAGATTATAGAATAATTTAGGCAAGCCACAGTGTTGTACTGTCTTCACCTTTCTACTCATTTGGGAATCAAGACTGTAAGAATTACTCGGATGAAATACAATGATGGGAGGACAATTTTTTTAAAACTCCATGCAGCCTCCTGTGTAAAATATCTCAATTGGACTCTTCATGAGTTTTACAAAACTCCCCAACATCTAGAAACATTTTTTCCCCTGAAGCATTATTATTCTCTGGAATTCTTAGATGATTTGCTCCATACAGTAAATTTTTGTACACTTTGTAACATACTTATCCCTACCCTCAGAGAGCACCTAAGATTTCCCCATGGCTAATCTACTTACTTTACACAAGATGATGGCAGAGACTCTTCATATTAGGTAATCTCCTAGGGTCGGGAAACACATTCCAAATGCATTTGTTTTGAATGAATTTTCCCACTGAAAAGAAATCATTAGTTTGATACAAAATAACAGGGAACCTGAGGCAACTTATCAAAATATTTATCGTTGTTATCATATGACTCCAAGAGAACCAGTCTTACCACTTCTGGAAGACATTCAATGCTTGCCCTAGGGACTGTCTCAGGTTATCAACAGTATCCTGTTTATTATAGAAGTCAGAGGAGAATAGTCTTAGAATATACTTAGGCATTTTCATAAGGCCTGGGGTGAATTCCAGACTCTAGTAAGAGATGAATAGGGGGATGAATTAACATATTAAAGGCAAGTTTATAACAGAATTCTGGAAATATTTACCATATATTGGGAAAAACCCATAGTAAAGTTTATAATGAGTATTATAAGTTGAGTATTATAATCAACTCAGAATTGAAAAGACATTGTAGTGAAATATCATTCTCTGATATTTGATAACATCTGCTACTTCACTTTTGAGAGAAGAAGAGTAAGAGTCGTGAGTGGTAAGGATGATCCCTCCAGCTCTCTTTATAGCAATGGTTCTCAACAAGGGACAGTTTTGCTTCCCAGTGGAGATTTGGCAATGTCTGGCAGACATTTTTGATTGTCACAACAAGGGAGGCAGTGCTAATGGCATCTAGTGGTTAGAGGCCAAGGCTGCTGCTAAACATCCTACGATGCCCAGAAATGCCCCTCCCAACAAGGGATTATCTGGCCCAATATGTCAATAGTGTAAGGTTGGGAAACCCTGCTGTACAGGAAAGATAAAAAATAGTGGACTGATGATGAAATAGCTCTATATCATGATTGTGGTGATGACTGATGAATCTAAACATATGATTAAACTGTATAGAACCACACACACACACACACACAAAATGAGTACAGGTTAAAAAAAAAATATGGTGAAAACTGAATAAGGTCTGTAGTCTATTAATATGTCAGATTTCCTGGTTTTGATATTGTGCAACAGCTATTTAAGATGTCACCATTGGGGGAAGCTGGGTGAAGGGTACACAGACTTTGTACTATTTTTGCAACTTCCTGAGAGTCTATAATTATTTCAAAATAAGAAGTAAAAAAATAAATGGTGAGACTGGACCAATAGAAGAACCACAGATGTGCTCTTCACAGAGGCTTGCCACATCTCCTTTCCTTCTACTGCTGCTGGCCCTCTCTTTGCTTCTGTTTATTATGCCATGCCTGGCACAGCACCAGAAGACAGTGGGATCCTACTTAGCAGCTTCTGTTCAAAGCATGTGGTGGCTTCAGATTATTTTCACATTCTACCCAGTGGTGTAAAGTTTTAGTTGGCAAATTAATAAACACCCTTCCCCACCACCTCTCCCCTAACTGCATGGTTCAGAACGTGTTTGAATATTTTACCCTTCTACATTTGATTTTGAAGTAGTGTTAGAGATGTTTGTGGACTGCTCCTAGGCTTGGATCACACTTGAGACCAGTACCCTAGGAGAGTTTCTATTTCCCACCACTGCATGTTTTTCATGATGTTGCCCCTCTCAACACACCTAACAAAATCTTAACCATTCTTTAAGGCCTGGCTCAAGTAATTTCCTTCAAAAACTTTCTCTGACCACCACCTCTCTGCCACTTCCTCCCCCTCAAGCAGATGGTATACGATGTTTCCTTATAAATTCTATTGTAAAGCAAAGAAGTTCCAAGGTATGTATGCATACATCTGTTTTTATTTATCTACCACTACACAATAAACCTTGGGAGAGACGAGAGATACAAAATATGATCCACTGCTCTAAGTCTCTTTAGTGGAAAACATGACAGTTCAACAATACAGTTCAACTGTGAATGCTCTCATGCCAAGGAATTAGGCTGGGCACTTTGGGGTATATATGATGGTTAAGACAGAATTCTGGTTTTCGAGGACCTTGTCTAATAAAGGAGCCCTGGTGGCACAGCAGTTAAGTGTTTGGCTGCTAACCAAAAGGTTGGCAGTTCGAATCCACCAGCCACTCCTTGGAAACCCTGTTGGGCAGTTCTACTTTGTCCTATAGGGTCGCTGTGAGTCGGGATTGACTTGATGGCAATGAGTTTTTCTCTTTTTTTCGTCTAATAAAAGAGATGGAGGCATACAAGTTAAGTATAATACAAGAGAGAATGTGTTAAATCACATTAAAAAGTTAATAAGAAAACTGTACAGACGATTTAGAGAATATTTCTGTATCACAGAAAAATTGTTAGGCAAGGTCACATTTCAGTTGAGAATTGAAGAAGGGGTAAAATAATGGGAACAAAAGGAGGGAAAATAATTTTTTCCTGCAGTGATATTGGTGTGTTGAGGCTTTTTTTTTTCCTTTAATTGTGCTTTAGGTGAAACTTTACAGAGCAAATTAGTTTCTCATTCAACAATTTATACACAAATTGTTTTGTCACATTGGTTGCAATCCCCTTGATGTGTCAACAGTCTCCCCTTCAACACCCCAATTCCCCATTTCCATCCATCTATCATTCCTATCCCTTCCTGCCTTCTTGTCATTGTGTCTGGGCAGATGTTGCCTCTCGTATACATGATTGAACTAAGAAGCACATTCCTCACGTGTTATTGTCTTATAGATCTGTCTAATCTTTGGCTGAAGGGTGAACTTTGGGACTGGCTTCAGTTTAAGTTAAAAGGGTGTCCGGGGGCCATAGTCTGGGGAGTTCTTTAGTCTCTGTCAGACCAGTTAAGTCTGGTCTTCTTTTTTTTTTTTTTTTGTGAATTTGAATTTTGTTCTACATTTTTCTCCCGCTCTGTCCGGAACCCTTTATTGTGATCCCCATCAGAGCGGTTGGTGGTGGTAGCCAGGCACATCTAGTTCTTCTGGGCTCAGCTGGTGGAGGCTGTGGTACTTGTGGTCCATTAGTCCTTTGGACTAGTATTTCCCTTGTGTCGTTGGTTTTCTTCATCCTCCTTTGTGCACTGAGGCTTTGAACCAGGAAAGCACAAGACATGCTTGGAGAGCTTAGTTGACTAGTTTGGTTGAAGATACGAGTAAGCAGCAAGGTCTTCTGGTCACAGAGGGCCTTAGACACAATGCCACGAACATTTAACTTTATTATAAACTTTGGTGAGAGCTTTTGAAAATTTTCCAGTAGATGAGCGTCATGATCAAAGGTTAGTTTTAGAATAACATATGGCACCAAAAGAAAATAGATTTGAGGATGGAGACTTTCAAATGGGGCAGAGGAATCTGTAGGAGGTTGTATAATCCAGGCTCGAGTTAATGAGGACCTGAGCTAGACTGCTAGCAGGAGAAAGTTTAAGATAATACAAGCAGTGTTAGATGTAGTGAATTGCCAGGTAAATTAAACATACAGTGAAATCTGTGAGAACCGGAATTCAGGACTGCCTTGTTTTTCCAGGTCTCACAAGTTTCTGCCTTTGACAGGGCGCAGTCACCACTTTTCTATTGCTATTTAGTGGAAAATATTTTTCCTTCTCTGACAGGTTTCTGCCTTACACACGGTTCCAGCTTTCGCAGGTTTTACTGTATGTAATTATGATAGATCAGAGAGGAGAAATGATTCTCTAGGCATGGGGGTTCAAAGAAGGTTTTAGAAAGGAGGTAGCACTAAAAGATGAGTACAAGCTGGGAGTGTTATGATCAGAGGTGAGAAAAGTATAAGTGCAAACGTTTCTAGAGATGGTAATACACAAGTTTGACTGGAATAGAATATTATCTATAGAGCAAGGGGAGTGGAATTTGAAAAACATAGATTGTGGAAGGCCTTTAATTTCTAGTTAAGAAATTTGAGTTATATTTTGCAGCCAGTGGGGAGTTCATGATGGATTTTGAGTAGGAGAGTGACATGTAATTTATATTACTTATTTGACATATGTTCTGCCTCGTATTGAAGTTATTACCTAAGTTTCTGGACACAAGATTAGAGTATTAAAGTTTGCCAGAAGGTGCTCAATAAATTCTTGTTGATCAACTGAAAATGAGTCATTCTGGGAAGACCAGGAGCTGACGCCACTCTGTCAGTATAGGTGGCCTGACGATCGACTGACCAAATCTGGCTCACCCGAGGGTAGGAAATCCTGGCCATGGACAATGACTCTGCGAACTGCGCACATGACTACCGGCATTTACTCTTCCTTTCGTTATGACGACCTTTCCTTCATTAACTTATCTTCGAACTCCTCCGCACAGTGCAATAAGATCACGTATTTTAAATCTTCCAAGTAGGCAAAAACTAAGCAAATGAGCAACAACAAAATACTTCGCCGGTATTTTATCACCAGACCCCCTTCCCAGCGAGGCACATAGAGGCGAGGCGAGTAAGAAGCGCGGAAGGGTTGTGGACTGCCTAGGCAGAGTATGAGGTAACCGGGTGGGGAAACCACCTGGACGGCGAGCACGCAGGCGCACTCGCGGCCGCAGCGCCCAGTTGTCGAGTCCTCTTTCTAGTAATTTCGCTAATCGTGACATCATCTCCGTGCGTCGTTACGATGCCTGCCAGAACCCGCATTTTTATTTGGTGAAGGTGACAAAAAATGAACTGACCCATCCCGTCCCACTTTGATCTTATTCTTCCACTCTGAACACGTTTACATTTTGGGTAATAAAGCGGGGGCGGAAAAGGAAAACCACCGGAGCTTGCAGCTGCGACCAGCAGGAATGACTCGGCGCCGCCGCCAGCCGCGTTACCCGACGTGCCCCGCGCGGCGCAGGCGGAGGGACGTGGGGGGAGGGGCGGGGAGGAGAAAGCGGCGGCGGCCGCGGGTGTCGCTGTTAACCAGCGGCGTCTGAACACGACGGCTGCCGAGCGCCTGAACCGGACCTGCGCCAGAGCCCATACCCAGCTCCGCGGCCCCTCGCCCGCCAGGGCGGCCTTGCGCCCGTTGCCACTGAGGCGGCGTGCTCTGCGTTTCCCGCTGTCCAGGCCGGTCGGCTGTGGCGTTTCCTGGCTCCCTCTCGCTCGCCCGCTTCCTCCCTGCTCTCCTGAGTCACCGCCGCCATGGCCGAGAGTGGTGAAAGCGGCGGCCCTCCGGGCTCCCAGGACAGTGCCGCCGCACCCGAAGGTGCCGGCGCCCCGGCGGCCGCTGCCTCGGTAGAGCCCAAGATCATGAAAGTCACCGTGAAGACCCCGAAGGAGAAGGAGGAATTCGCTGTGCCTGAGAACAGCTCCGTCCAGCAGGTGAGGGCCGCCTGGGGCTCGGGCAGGGGTGGAGGTGGTGGCAGGACCTCCGCCCGCGACCGGAGACTGTACTGGAGGGCTTTGGATGAGGGTTGACCCCGGAAGTACCCTGGGCCTCATCCCAAATTCGATCACATCGAAGCTCGTGGGTTTGCTCCTTGGGACACCGGAGAGGTTTGTGGCAGGGCTGCGGCCTGTTTGTAAGACGCATCGACGCCGCTTCCCTCCGCACCCTCCTCCTCCTCCTGTGGCGTCCACGGACCCTTAGCCTCCTCCTCCTCCAGCTCCCCGCCCCCAGCCGCCTCCAGCTCCTCACAAAGGAAAGGGACCCGCCGCCTGGCTCGGGGCGGGGTGGAGGCTGGGCGGGTGCGAAGGTTCCCTGTAACCCAGGCCGCGATTTTGTTTCAAGTACACACAAAAAAAGAGGGAGGCTTATTGTTTTTGACTGCCTGCCAGGTTAAGGTAGGTTTTGGGGTGAGAAGCACGTGTACATTTAGTTCTGCTTTTTGACTGTTGAAATCTTTCCCACCTTCTTTTTTTTTTTAAAGAAAAAACAACAAAGCTATGACGTAGAAATTGCTTGCAGCCACATCTTATAGTACTAGGCTCAGGGAGAAAAGTGAGTGACTCTTCATTCATTGATGACTTGCTGTTTTCTTTTTAGTAATATGTATCATCCCTTCGATGCTAATCTGGGGTGAGTTTTTGTTTGGTTACAGAGGGACGATAGCGACGTTATTCAGATATTGGCAATTGCATTGAATAAAAGAAAACAATCGAAGTTAATGGGAATATTACCCAATAATTGATTATTTGAAGTCTGTCCAGGAATACAAATTCTGCAGTTAATTAAGAATCTTGATGAAATTCAACAAATTGTTTTAACTTATTGTTGATCCGTAATTATTGATCTCTAACAATCTCAAACAGTGTGAACAGTTTACGAAAGGAAACAGTTAACTCCTGCAATGTACCTATAGTAAGTTTCCCCAGGAACAGCAAATGATTCGGATATTGGTTTATCTAGTTTCAAAAGGTGTGTTTTGTGAAGCAGTAGAGTGTAGCGTCAATCAAGAGAAACTCACCACCAATTGAATCACCACGTTGTTGTTGTTTTGTTTTTTGTCTCCCAATGCTCTTATACAAATTTTCCTCAACGTTTTATGTTTTCCGTCATACGAGAAAGTTGAAAGAATTGTACGGTGAATACCCATATGTCCATCACCTACAGTTAGCATTTTACTGTGTTAGCTCTACCACATTTCTAATCATTTATCAGTCCATTTTGTTTTCTGGATGCGTTTCAAAGTTAGTTGCAAATATCTGAACATTTAACCCTTAAAAAGCACTTCAATGCCCATATCATTAGCTTGAGTTCAGCGTTTTTTAATTTTATTTTTTTAAGGTAAATTTGCCATGCAGTGAACTGCATAAGTGTTCCATTCCATAAGTTTTGACAAATGCATACATACACCTGTGTAACCTCAACCCCTATCAAGATGTAGAGCATTCTTACTCAACAGAAAGTTCCTCTTGCTCTTTCCCAGCTAGTTCAGTCACTGTCCCTTCCATCAACCACTGTTTTAATTTTTTTCAGCATAAGTTAGTTTTGCCTGTTCTAGAATTTTATGAAAATGGGATTGTGTAATATGTACTCTTTGGGTAAGGTTTCATTCATGCAGCATAATGTTTTTGAGATTTATCCTAGTATCTTAGAAATTCTCTCCTGTTTATTGCATTTCCATTGTATGACTTTGTATGGTAATACATAGTTTTCCATTGTGTGATTATGCCATAATTTATCAATTCCTCAGTTGAGGGTTACTTGGGCTGCTTCTGGTTAGTAAAATCTTTTTCTGTTTGTGGACGTATTCTTCCATTTCTTGTGGTTTAAATACTTACAAGTGGAATGGCTGGGTCACAGGGCAGGCGCATGCTTAGTTTTATAAAAAATTGCCTTTTTCAAAAGTGTACTCTTCTACAGTCCTACCAGTTATGCATGAGAGTTTCTCTTGCTCCACATGCTTGCTAACATTTGACTTTGTCAATCTTGTTTAACTTTATTTATTCTAGTGGATGGGTATCCATATTAAGTTTTGAAACCCTAGTTCTTCTTTCTAGGATTTCTATTTCAGGTCTCCACTAGCCTAGCTGCTTACAGCATTTCACTGTGCAAAATTGGAAAGAAAGAGCCAATGTTTTATAAATAGAATAATTCATATAGGTCAGTTGATATTTGTGAGGATGTTTAACTTTTTGTGATGGTGAAATTAGAATTCTAAATTCTGTGGATTTTTTTTTTCACTCCCCAGTAACCAGAGGAGAATTTTAATAGATGAAATTAAAGACAATCTTAAGTCACTTTTATGATGTCGGTTAGTTTTTTCTTGTAATTGATAGTTGTTATCTGTTTTAGCAGAAAACAAGATAAAAATTGAAGCTCACCACTGCAACAAGACCCTGAAGAGAGGTTGAAATATGTATGCGCTCTGTAAAGGGAAGCACATATAGAAAAATGCAAATATAATTATGAAGAGCTGGTTTTAGATGGTCTAGTTATAAAAATTTACTTGAAGCACAAGAAAAGATCTGCCGTTTTGTAATTAAAAAAAAATTTTTTTAATGGTTTGATTTAAACTGTTTGCCACAGATTAAAGTTTTTTAGTAACAAATACTAATGATATTAAGATTTCACTGACGAAAACGTTCAGTAAAAAATTCGGAAATACTTGGTCCTGAAAATCTTTATCTAATCTTGGGAAGGGGGGTAGGTAAGCAAGATAGTATGTGTATGACTGTGTTCTAATAATTGATTATATATTAAAGCTCCTGGGTAAATTATAAAACAGAAGTTGTAAGGTGGTAATTTATTTTCCTATTTTTTCTTTGGTTTTTGTTCGAGTGTGTGTAACCAACAGGCAGGTTTTAAACAAAACCTTAATTTTACAGGGTCATGTATAGTTGGTATTTAATAAATGTTACTTGTTGGAGGTTCATATTAAAGTTAATACTTTTTTCCTAAATTAAAATGAAATTTACTTTTCACAGAGTACTCAGAATCAATTGAGTTAACTTGTAGATTTCTACTTAAGGAGATTTAGAATATGGTGGTACACCGGTTAAGAGTTTGACTGCTAACCAAAAGGTTGGCAGTTTGAATCCACCAGCTGCTCCTTGGAAACCCTATGGGGCAGTTCTGCTCTATCCAGTAGGGTCGCTATGAGTCAGAAATGACTTGATGGCAACAGGTTTTGGTTACGTATGATGTCCAGAAGAATGGTGTATGTGTGTTTAATATTGGAACAGAGAGTGGAGGAAAGCTTCCATATAACTTCTAACAAGTGTATTTTGGGATTTTGTCACCCTCTAGATTATAGATTTTGAAATACAGTTACCTGAAATATTCAGGCAAGGTTTATTTTACTTTTAGAAAATGTATATCACTTGAAACTTTTGAAAAGTTAATATACTTGGACATAGTATAAATAACTGTTGTTGGGTACCGTTAAGTCAATTCCGATGCATAGCGACCCTGTAGGACAGTAGAACTGCCCCATAGGGTTTCCAAGGAGTGGCTGGTGGATTCGAACTGCCAACCTTTTTGTTAGCAGCCTGAGCTCTTAACCACTTTGCTACCAGGGCTTCATAAATAACTGTATTGAATTTAATTGAGCCTTTCTGTGATAAGGGAAGTTACAGTGCCTCAGGGTCATCGTCACAAACATGATTTAACATTATACTGTATAGTACGAATCTAGAATTTCACTGTCTACTTTGTTGCCACCAGCCAAAACGTGTGACTATTAAATGCTTAAAGTGTGGCTAGACTGAAATGTTACTTAGAGATTGATCTGAGATTGGTCCTCACATCTGGACCAATAAGCAACATCATGATAAACAGGAAAATATTGATGTCAAGGATTTCATTTTACTTGGATCCACAATCAACACCCATGGTAACAGCAGTAAAGAAATCAAACAATGTATTGCATTGGGCAATCTGCTGCAAAAGACCTCTTTAAAATGTTGAAAAGCAAAGCTGTCACCTTGAAGACTAAGATGTGCCTGACTCAAGCCATGGTATTTTCAGTCGCCTCATATGCACACGAAAGCTGGACAGTTAGTAAGGAAGATCGAAGAAGAATTGATGCTTTTGAAGTGTGGTGTTGGCAAAGAATATTGAATATACCATGGACTGCCAGAAGAATGGACAAATTGTCTTGGAAGAAGTACAGCCAGAATATTCCTTAGAAGTGAAGATGGTGAGTCTTTGTCTCACATACTTTGGACATGTCATCAGGAGGGACCCAGTCCCTGGAGAAGGACATCATGCTTGGTAAGGTAAAGGGTCAGCAAAAAAGAGGAAGACCCTCAATGAGATGGATTGATACCATAGATGCAACAATAGGCTCACATATAGCAACAATTGTCAGGATGACACAGGACTGGGCAGTGTTTCATTCTACTGTACGTAGGGTTGCTGTGAGTTGGAACCGACTTGATGGCACCTAACAACAGACTGAAAGGATGTGCTGTAGTTGTAAAAAACACACCACATTTTGAAAACTTAGTGTGAAGAAAACAATGTAAATTATCTTACTAATAACTTCTAAATGTTTCACATACTGAAATATTTAGGATATGTTAGTAACGTATTATGAAAATGAATTTGACCTGTTTGCTTTTATTTTTTTAGTATGGCTACTTGAAAGTTTAAAATTATATATGTGGCTTGTATTTTATTTCTGTTGGACTGCATCTGTGGTGCAGTGGATCACTTTTATATGGCCTTTCTTGCCGTGGTCTTGTAATTCCCACCAAACGATTGGGTGGGATTGCAAATAAAGTACTTGTGGCCCAGCAAGGGGATCAGACAGCTTGCTGATAACAAAAATAAGGTGCAAGGTGTATGACACCCTTCGGGTGGGGCAATGCAAATAAGGTACATGGATCCCTAATGAGATTGGTCCGTTTTGCCATCCCGCAAGGTGTAAAGGGAG